GAGGTTGGAGGGCTTTTTTCTGGAATTTCAACTATGATGCTTCTAAAATTAGCTCATTGCTAAACCACTGACGGCTCAAGATTTTACTTTGTTTTTGTTCTACAGTAAAATGTTTTCCAAAAACTATATGTCTTTAACATTTACTTTGAAAATAAGTATACAATGATGTAAAACTCTATTTGGCCCAATTAGTTTTTCATTATTATTTAATTTTTTATTTTTGTCACATTAAGCACCCATAGAGTTTAATAAATAGACTTGGAATCTGAAAACTGGTTATTATATTTACACAGGTTATCTTTTTTAAGTATAAAGATTTCTTGATTATCATCTGAAAAAGTGAGGGTGACAGGAAATGAAAAGAAAACCTAATAAATCTTGAAGGCGGAAACATTTTTTGTCACCTCTTCGTGTGAGTTGCCAATTATACTGAAATGCAAATTAAAGAGAGGTGCTGTGTGCTTTGGTGTAGGTAAATGCTAGCTACATTTGAACTTGGAAGTTGTCGTCAGGATCTTTAAATTGTTTTGAATTCTCTCCTTGCTCACAATCTGTATGTTAATTTGGATTGTAATATGGCTTCTGTGGTGGCCGCCAGGTGCAAGCACACAGTAAATGCCTTAACACACCACAAACAACAAAACCAGCTGCGAATACTTGGATAACGCAAACTCAAAATCCTAAAAGTAAAAAAACAAAAACAAACAAGAAATGCATAAGAAAAATTTTGCAAGAGGAAAAACACTTTGCAATTGCATAAAGTAGTAAAATCAAAAACGCTGCAAGAAAAAGAGTCAACCAACAAATCTAGTGGGACCAACCCTCCATAAAGTCAAGAACTCTAAGATTATCTCCACAAATATGCTGATTTTCTGAAGAAAAAAAAGTCCTTAAAAATCAAAAAGTCTTTCCTCCAATTTTCTTCAGGGCATCACATAAGGGTTTTTTACAGCCTAACATGGTGGTGGACAGCCCCAAGTGGTGTGGCACGCTTTCCATTTTTTAGAGCAAGGCTGTTTCTGCTGTTTTTTTTCTTTTTCTTTTATTTTGGATAACTATTTTGTTTCTGTCTGTTGGTCTTTCTTTTGTGACTGCATATTTTTTGTATGTTTTTTTTATCATTAATTTATCTGCTGCTCTTTTGGCCATCTGCTGGGCGTCCACACCTGTCTACCATCCTCTGCTTTTCTCACATAGTTCTTTTAAGCTTTATATAAAACATAATTAGTAAAGTTTTGATTGTAAAGGGACTTTAAACTGCAAGTAAGTGTTTTTTTGTTCTATGCAACATCTTTCTACATAATCAATTGGTAAACATAATCATTCCAGCTAAAGGACCCCAGTCTTTCACATGCATCAAATACATAAAAAAAATGTTAGTATAAACTTGCATAAACATTTAGATTAAACCAACTTACTCATGTTAACATCAACACACATCATTTGTTTAAAGAAGGTTAGCAGTGATGTTTGAAAGTATTCATATAGGAACGTTTATACATATTTTTAAAATAAATACCTTTTCCTTTTAAAACAACAAAACAATTAAATTGTGTTTACTCCTATATCTGTTACTTATTCATCTGAAAAGTATTTTTGTAGATTTGCTTTTTAAACAAGTTCATGTCTTTATTCCATGCCGTATTAAATGTATTCCTTTCATATTAATTGTTGTTGATTATAAAGAATTATAAACTAATAGAAAAATCACTTTAACTCTTAATATCTGTTAGGAGATATTTCTTTGTAAAGGGGAAAACAAAGATTATGTTTTCATTTATTGCCCCAAAGACTGTTTGAAGTCCGAAAACAATTAAACTATAAAATCCTGGCTCTATTTGTTATCATAGCACAATATTAAAAAATAAACAATATAATGAGGTGCAGGGGGATTGGCAGTACTAGGAGGATTTAATTTGATGAGTTCATGTTTTCAAAATGGCTTTGGTTGGCAGTGCACCGTTCCCATCTCTTCACATGTTGCAGCAAAGTGGCACAGTAACAGGAAGGCTGTTTGCCACTCTGGCTGCAGATCCCTCAGAGATCAGTTATAAATTTCTCCCCATACTTGTTAGTGCAAGACTAGTTTACTTGCTATATTTTTGTATTTTTCTAATGGATTTTAGTAAGAATCTCTGTGGAGAATTCAGAGGATCCAGAAGGCTCTTTAGATGACCTCATCTTTTTTTTTTTTCCTAAGCAAAGAGCAGACTGGAAACGCTTTACACTGCTTTGCACACAACCAGGCATTCAGCTCTTCCAAGATAACCAGGTCATTTGCATTCCTTTTGCGAAGCTTGTTTTTACATGGGCAGTGCTTGGTCCACCACAAAACATGTGGTTTATGTGGTATCAGCTGCAGATAATTCCTGCCTGTGGAGCCTGTATCTAAAGTGGTCAATCAAAGCCGCAGCAGAGGTCTAGCTTGTCCGTAACTTAAGCGTGTGCTCCTTTTTTTTTAAAGATAAGCCAGGGGTGTGTGTGTACCTGCACCTGTACTGCTATGTGTGACATGCATTGTGTCTCTGATCATGCAAAAGTTTGGCATTTGCTCTTTGTTTGTGAGAAGTTTTCAACAATCAGCTGAAGACATGCAGTTCCTCTTAACTTGGCAGTATTTGCAGCTTTATTATAGAGGAACATTGGGTGGGAGGAAGTGATGGAAACAGGGAAGCCATACTTAGCCAAGCTCAAAACCAAAAGTAAAGACAAAACACATCAATAGAAGCAGATTCTTTGTCTCAGTTCACATCTGTGTAGGGAGTGTAGTAACTCGCTGATGCACTCTCTTTATACTACAGCATGTGATTTGTCACAGAGCATAAATGGCCTTCTCAAGTGGTCGCTTCTGCCTGCCAACTCATCCGTTTCTCCCAGAGAGGTTGTGCATGGGAACTGTGCTGCTGGGAAGCTTTGGTGTGGACTGTGGAGCAAGTACTCCACTGTGAACAACATGAGCTGAAAGCCGACTGACTCATGGAAAAGATTAGAGATGCCAAGCACTGTATGTGTGTGAATCTGCGTAAAGTGAAAGGAAGTCAGTGTTCTCATACAAGACTCTTCTTCCAACTGCACATGAAACTGCTGTCAAGTCTTGATGAATCTCAAACTGCAGCCACTTTTTGCTTATTCTAACTAAATTAAAGATTTCTAGCTCTATGCACAGGAGAGAACTCAAGAAAGCAAACTGGTTTCATTTTTCTCAACAACTTAAAGTTTGTTTGACAGTTCTGGCTGGCTGACCCAGGATGCACAAATGATTGCATTTATGCTAAAAGCTTGTCTACACTCACATGGATTAATATAGCAAGCTACATTTGCACGGCATTGGTAACATTTAAGTGATTGGCTTGATGACGGTTTGTACTACATCTTTTTTTATTTATTAGTCTCAACCAAAATGAGCAGACAGAGCCCCACTTCTTCAGATTGGTAGAGTGGAGTCAGCCTCATTGCCCTTTCAGGAAGTGAATTTCTCTGCACAGTGGATACTCAGTCCTCCATTCTCACACTGCTATGATTTCATATATTTAGGAAATACTTCTAAGGAAAAGTCCCCTTCTGGGCAGGAAGTGAATGAAACTTGATGCGGATTCAATTTCTCTTAAACTCAGACATAGTTCTATAAAGACATATAAACATCGTTCTCGGTCTTACTTAATTTTTTTTTAAACCCTCATCAGCTTTCCCTGTTCTGTTTATCCAAGCTCAGCCTTGAGTGGTCAGGAGTGCAAAAGGAAATGGCTGGCTTTTCCATAGGCTGTACAGTGTTGAACTTAAGTCATGTCAGTAATGATTTGTGGCGGCCCTTTTACTGTAAAACATTGCTCTTTGTTTCAGCCTGTTAGTAGACATGCAGACCTCTCGGCTGTCTCTTACCATCTTGGATGTTGGTGTTTCCAATTTAAACTGAAAAGAAAAAAACACCGACAGATTATGTTGAATATTAACTGGTATTACTTTTGGTGTTTGAGGGATGCATGTTAAGTGTAGCATTTTCCTTTCTGTCATTAATATTAGTTATATTTTTTGGTTGACTCTGATTATTTAACAGGTTTTGGAATAATTCCTTATACTCCTTCTGATGTTTGTAATTCCTCCCCCCATGATGGGCAAGATTTTACTCTCCCTCTTTTATACCCAGATAACTCATTCGCTAAACTGTTCAAGAACAAAATGCCAAAGGAACAAAATAGGTTTAACTACTTTGTCGAAAGACAATTTTAAGGAAATCCTTTAAGTGCATCTTTTCCGGAAGTTTTTGGTTCCAAACGCTTTCATTGGGGCTGGGACATGATGGTAAAATCTACAATTTCTCTAAATGCACTGGTAGAAATTCACACTGCTACCATTAAACAACATTCGCTTCTCTATCGCTGCTCCTCTTTTATGGAATAACCTCCTGCTGCACATTAGTGAGGCTCCTTCACGCCCAAATTTTAAAAAACAGTTCAAAACTTACTTTTATTCACTGGCTTTTAATACTTATATTTTTATGCTGTATTTTATTCTTTTATTGTGTTTTTGATTCTCAAATTCACACTTTTTAAATTTTATTGCTTTGATTAGTAATGACTTTGCATATAGTAAAGGAAGTAATGCTGCATGTCATAGAGCCTTAGTTCTCTTTGGCACCAACCAGAATCAGAAAGATAAGAGAAGTTGGCCTTTAATTTCGGCAGATGCGTGTCTATATTTGTATGTTTGAAAAGAGCTGCATACAAAATATTGGTCACCTTATGCTGCCCTGCTCTGTCATCTTAGCAAAACTAGACTCCAAGGCGATGACAATGTTGAGGACGATGAAAAAGGATAATTGTTGAAGACCAGAGAGAAAAAACAGTGGCACCGTAATGTTTTTTTTTTTTAAAGATATTCGAACAAGTGGGGCACAGTAAATGTGACCAGATCCTGCATTCTGCTCCTTTAATCAATCCTCTGTCTGATGTTTTGTTATACTGTTCTCTGATATTGAAACCTGCTCTCTGTGCTGTCCTCAGAATCTTCTCAGCTGTCCTCATCCCTCTCCACCTGCAACCATGTCAAGGATAACATAGATTTGGGTCCAGACTATTACAGCCAGGTATGTGTGGAGCCACTAGACGGAGAGGGCCAGCGTCCCGTGAGCCTGGTGTCCACCTTGTCATCTGGTTCATCTGCTGATAGTCAAAGCCTTTTTGGAAGTACGGTTGCCCTTCCGTCCTCCACCACAACTTCCCTTCAGAGCGAGGAAAACATTGACCTGGAACTGAGCCCGACAGAGACCACCAATAGGCAGACTGGAAATCAGAATCCTCACCTGAAAGGTTCTGTCGGCGGCTGGCGCAGGCATCTGGAAGCTTTTGTGATCAGCAACCAGCGGAACAACGCCTCTGCCAGCAGGCCTGCCAGGGGTAAATTACTTCAAGTGACCACCTCGCCTGTTGTTCCAGAAGCAATGGCTCCTAACCCAAAGCTGACCTATATGGACCGTGTTGTCATGGAGATCATTGAGACGGAGCGCATGTACGTCAGAGACCTGAGCAGCATCGTGGAGGTGAGTCATAACGTTTATACTCCAGATGGATATCTGTTTTAAATCATCAGGCTCCTAGATTTAGCTCCACCTATCTCCACCTGTCAATGCTTAAAAGGAAAGCATCACACGTCATAATGCTGCCACTACCATGTTTGGAATGAAGATGTTCAAGGTGTTGTGAGGTGTTGGTTTTCTGCCACATATAGAGGTTATAAAGTTATCTGGCTCTGTCTTCCACACTTTTGTTATGTTCACTTTATGAGTAGAGCCAAATAAGGCTTTCCTTCATCCATGGCTTTCTTCGTACTTCCCTGTTAAAGGCCGAATTTCTGCGTTTTCTGCAACCAGATTCTCCCACATAAACTGACTTTCTGTCTATGTGAAGAGTTGCTCTGTTTGCTCGGGCTGTCAGCTTATGTGGATGACCATTTTTGGCAGATCTTAGGTTGTGCCAATCAATTTTTCAATCCAATATTGCTTTTTTTCCCTCCCATTTACATGATTGATATTACAACATGGTAACAAATGTTACTCGAGCCTCAATTTAAACAAAAAAGAAACATTAACAAACAATACATTAACAATGTATAGCAAACAGAGGGAGCTACTGTACATGTGGTTAATGTGATCTTAAGGCATTACTTCTGAATGCATTAATGAATTAGAGACCTCTCTAATTCATTAATGCATTCAGAAGTAATGCCTTAAGATGATGATGCATGTATCAGCCAAAGCCAACACAAGGAAAAAGACTAATATCAGCCCAAAATATGAATGCTTCGCTCTGCATTTCATTTGTAAGGTAGATTTTTAACCAAATCTAACGCTGCTTTAGAGGTCTCCTCAACTTTATCCCAGAGACTTATTATATTATCTTTATTATTATGACATTTTTTGTTCTCCACCGAGCTGTTTGGTCCCCAACATTCTCCCATAAAACTTTAACACAGAATAGCTGTATAAAGATACATAAAGGTAGAATCAAGTTATTAAAAATTGGCATCTGAAGGAAATGGGCTGCACTGTATTCCAATTAGAGATGTCAGAATGGGGGGACCCAATGCCTGCTTTGGAAATCAAAAACGTATTTTGCCTACAATTCATAGCTATGCTGTATTTAATGTTAGTTTGTCCATGAAAATTCCAATAAGTTCAATTCATACAGAGAATTTTTTTGTGGTACAAATGGTTTTGAAAGACCCCCTATTCACATGAATGCAGAATTTCGAATTACAGCCAATAGAATCGTCTGTATTTTGTGTTTTTTGTACCCGATTTACAATAAACTATGACATAGTGTCTCCAATGCTCTTTCAAAGTTGTATATCAAGTTTGAAAACCCAAGTACAGATGTAGAGGGATTCAGCTCAGTTCCCTGGAAGGGAATAAGGTCTCCTGTGTTCCAGGCAGCTGTTTGTGAATTAAAAGTGTTTTGGAACCTCTGGTGGATTTTCCTTTTTCATTTAAAGTCCCGGCATGATTTTCCCTCTTTCTAAAAAGATCAGCCAGTGGACAAAAATGTGTGCCAGACATCTGGCCGTTGTTTTCTCCTTACTTACAGGTTTTCTTGTTTGTAAAGATGAAAGTCCAGGAGCAGTTCATGATGTGGATGGGCTCTGTTTCATAAACAGTGTGTGTTTACTGTACAGTGAAAGTTTACAGTCTGTGTAGACTGGGCTTATGGGACAAATGCTCATATTTCAGTGTAAATTGGGAATCCTACTGCAGACATCACTGGTTGCTGGGTTTGTGTTCTTTGAGTTTGGAAAAATCTCCTTTGAAAGATGAGAAGAGTAAGAAGTGGGGCAGCAATGATCTTACAACTTTATTATCACCTTTTTGTTCCCTTTTGTAGCGTCTGGCAGTTGCTTCCAGAAAAGAAAGCTCCTTTTCCATTGGTCTTTACTTTTCCTTTCAGGATCATTACAGCGTCTGAAAATGGTAATGGCTTTAACATGTGAGGCATTTCTGAGACTGAATGGCAGTAAAAGAGCCAGCACCCCTCCTCACCTTGTCTCAGACGGTGCTGGCGTCTACCATTTGCTCCAGGAGTGTGCACTGCCCTGGATCCAGTTTGAGTAATGGCTCACTCCTGACAGACACTTCTAGGATTTGTGACTATTTTAGCTGACAGCAGCAGCAGCAGCCTGGTCTGGTCTGGTCTGGTCTTGGTCATACAGGCCCCTGCTGTAGGCTCCTGCCTCGCCTGAACTCTCTGGCTCTCCGGGCCAACACAAACAGCCCCATCTATCCACCAGCTGAAGAAATAACACAGATGAAACGAGTGCAATTGGGATTTCCACAGGCTATAGTGTGGGAACCCGACGGGGCATAAACGAAGCCTCTGTCCTTTTAGGATTACAGTCTGTCTTCTGTCATTTTGATTCCATGCAGCTGATTTCACACTCAGCCTTAGATCCATCAGAAACATGTGAAAACACTTCCTCTCATTTTGAGGTTGTGGGTTTCTTTTTTTATTTTTTAAGCCAAATCAAAGCTTCCTCTTCATACTGACACTGAAGTCACGAACAGCTGTTTAATATGTTAATTTGACTTTACAATCCACATTATCAGGCTCAGTTTCAACCTTTTCCGTGGGATCCAGATATGAGAGGCAGCTGTTTGACCCCAGCTGATTCCACATGCTGGAATATGTCCCCAACAACTGGCTGTAACACACCCAGAGCAATCATTTGGCTGCTGGTGTGTAGAAAGACTTGCCTGCTCGTTTGGATTTTGCTCTGTGTGATTTTAAACACTTCCAAAATGATTTATATTACCCATATCGGTATTGCAACCCTCCCTGCTCCATAATAAAGAACAGCTTGTTGCCCCAGGCGTTACAAGACTTTTATTCTCATACACTAAAGGTCACATGTGTTTTGCTTAAGACAAAGGTGGATTTTTTTTCATATATAAATACATATATATGCACACACAGGAGATTTTTATGCTGCAGCTCGTTCAGTAACTCAATGCCTATCCGGGTGTTTTCAGCTCTCTGAGAGGCTGCGTGTGTCTGCAAAGTGTTTACTTGTATGCTCTTTATTTAGCTGTTGCATATTTGTTTAGCCTCCCTTTACCCCAATCCTTTTTAGGTGATGTTTGCATGCCATGTAGGTGTGTCATTGACCAAATAAAATATGGGGGATCCCAGATGTTGGCATGCTTACTGCATTTTTAGGTATTTTTTTATCAACTTTTTATAAACCCTGGACGTCCAGAGGGAGATGGATGTTTTTAAATTGGAAATAATCTGTCCTGAAGTTCTCTCCTCTTGTTGCTCTATGTATGCAGCAAAATCTTTGATGGAGAAATGCAATCATGAAGACCAAAGAACACAGCAGAGAGGTTAGGGAGAAAGTTGTAGAATAGCTGGGAAGATCGGTTTAATCTGTCATCCACAGATAAAAATGGTTTGACAGGTTTTTAAATGACCAATGTTAGCAGGCAGAACATTCATCCTTGTCGCAGGAAAGAGATTTGAAGTTATGAAGGACTTGGCTCCCAGCTTGACTTGCCAAATGATAGTCATGCTCTCCACAAATCTGTCTTTTAAAAATGAGTGGGGTTATACATGGATTTTTTAAAAGAATGCCACAAAGACATGTCATGCAGGTCGTATAAAGAGATTGTGCAAACATGGATTAAAGCACTGATTCCCAAAGTTGGCTTCTGGGGTCATGACCCCACTTGGGGCCCACTTGGGGTCCTTTAATCAACCAGTTTTTGACATCACCATGAAGAATTAACAATAAAAACTTGTTGAAAGTTCTTAAAGATATAAAAGAATCACTTAAAATGACAGAGCCAACCACTTTGATTGTTGATGCTGTTTGTATTATTATTTTTATTACATCAGTAGTTAATTGATTTTGTTGAAATGTTTTATATACTCAATGAGTCAGCCCTAGTATCACTTTGTCAGTCAGAAGCTGAAAAGTTGGGGGACCTCTGGAATAAGTTGATCTGTTTATATAGGAACACTATGTGCCAGAAAGCTAACAGTGCACATCACCTTGATCAAACCATCCCTATGGAGGCACATCAGGTGAAATGAGGGGGCTTTTCTTCTTCAGGGACCTCAACACTTGTCAGTTTAGATCAGAGGTGCTCAAGTCCAGTCCTCAAGAGCTACCATCCTGTAACTTTTAGATGCATCTCTTCTCCAACACACCTAAATCAAAAGGCTCAATCCCCTCATTAAGCCCAGCAGAGGCATGGTAACCAGCCACTCATCTGATCCAGGTGTGTTAAAAATGGGGTGCATCAAAAAGTTGCAGGATAGTAGCTCTTAAAGGACTGGACTTGAGCACCCCTGGTCTAAATGGTATTAGACCTAAGGTTCGAGCAGAGCTTTGGTTTGCAGCAACATACGACAGGTAATGGAATGGTTTGGATCAAAGCATTCATTATAACATTTTAAGCAAGATGTTAAAAATGTCAGAGTTCTTTAGGGAAAGGAAAACCTCCAATAAACAAACACCTAAGGAGAATTTAAAAACAGTCATGTGTTTTGAACTGTGGGAGGACGCCAAAGCTTCTTGCGGCAAGGAAGCAGTGCTAACCACTGAGCCACTGAGTGGCCCCTGCATTAACTTAAAAGATGATAAATGAAAACACTTTTTAAAGAACTAAAGTAAATCGCAAATCATTGAAACAAGGTAATCCAAGCAGTTTATAGATCCCTGGATTCTATTTCAAATCTGCTTGATTAACCAATGATTTTAAAGTGCTTTTCTGTAATGTTTGGGAGGTGGTTGAACATCGACTAGCAGAACGTTTCTTAGTCTGTTTGTTTTAATCAAGAATCCTAATGTTCCGTATTTTCTAAGCATTCTATGTCCTAAATAGGGATCACAATATTAAGATCTGAGATAGTTTTCTTTACTTTGATCACATTTGACTTAAGACTTGGCCCGTTGTGCACCTGTATCCATAATTTATTAAAATATCTGATTACAGAAAAAAGATGCAAATATCTTGCTTTGAATTTAGACCGAGAGAACCTTAATTGCTTGTCATATTCGTGTTAATGGTTGTATAGATCCAGAAAGGGTTAAATTCAACTCATTAATTAGAAAAATATCTGTTTTGTATAATTATTAACAATGTCTTACAAGTTTAAATTTTTATATTTTCTTAATAAGTGTCTCTCTAAACATTTTGCCAACAGGGTCAAGATTTGACAGCTGTTTTTAAATACTTTTTATCAAGTTATTTTTTTTAAATGCTTCTTAGAATAACCGATAAAACCTGAACCCTAATGCTGGGGACTTGATATGGCTGCAATAGGAAGAAAAAAAGTTGGGGAAATGACCTAAACCTCGACTGATTTACAGCCACCACCTTTTAATTTCTCATCCCTGTGTCTTTTCCTTTAAAGAATGGGAAAATCAAGTGGTCTGATTGTTTTGTAAATTCCTAACTGACCAACTATACATCCTTTCTTAAATGCACAACATGTAAGCGTTGCCTCTCTAACTAATTTACATTGATTCAGCTTTTCTCAGGGCCCATTCCACCTTGTACTTGCTCTGCATTTAGAAAACCGTCAGTCTGTAGTTACCTGCTCTCACTTTTGATAGGAATCTGTACATTCCTGATCTCTTTAATTTCTTATTTTCTAGGACTATTTGGCACACATTATCGATATGAGAAACCTCCCCATTGGGCATGAGCAAGTGATGGCCTTGTTTGGAAATATAGAGGACATCTATGAGTTCAACAGGTAATAATAAATCCTCATTCCTAATAAGAACAGAGCTGTAATATTTAGATGGTTTATGATAATAAAGTGTAAAATGTGCACGATTGATGCTGCAGCCTTGTGCAGATTACGTGCATAAGGAGTGTTGCAGGATGATTTGCCTGCAGTTTGATCCTGCAGCAGATGATTGTTTATTTTTACCCATAGTTCATTGTTAGAAAAGCAGCCTGGTTGACTCTCACCACAGGAAATTCGGTGGTAAATGGGTGAACATCAAGAGGAAGAGTTGTTGCAGCCTAGTTATGCTACATCCTATCTTTGTGTTGCTTAATATGTTGCAAGGCCAAAGGAATATTGACAGTCCTCTTTCTTCATAGTTTGGAGCCTTTCTTTTAATGCCAAAGCTCTCAGAAACTAATGAGGAAAAAAAAACATCAGATCAAATGTTGCTCTTTTACTTTATCTGTTTCCGTGAAGAAATACTTACATCAGCAGGTGAATACTTGCCCTGTATTTGCTTTAGTATTGCAACAGAGCCTGTGTGTAGGAGGTTACCCAAAGGGAAACCAGAGATATGTATACAGCACTGTGGTACCGTGTAGAGTACAAGTTGTCCTCTAGTAATCACCAGTACACTTTTAAGTGTTTCTAAGCACTTAAACTGTACTTAATATACTGAGCTATTTACCTGTATGAACAAATAGTACTGTTTATATTGTGCAAGTCAGATGCAAAGTCAAAACATTTGGTTGTACTTGTACTTATGTAGTTGTTTCAGTGTATTTAAGAGCAGATGCTGCCACCTACTGGTTGTTTGACTAATAATAATGAACGGAAATTTTAGTGAGCAGTTCTGGACGTAGTTCATGACTCCAGGACATCTTTAAAATCCAGTTCTTCTGAAAGGCTTCTGGTTCTTCTTGCCAAGTGGCAGCAAATAACTCCAGAAGTCAGAAGCCCAAAGGTCAGAAACAGGAACACTGAAATGGATTTTATCCCCAAAAATGCATAAAAATGTCTTATCCTCGTCTAAATCCATCAATATTTGAGCTTTGAGTTTGTGATCACCTTTATTAATTCTGTGGTAAAATACATTATAGGAAAACTTTAAACCCTATTCAACCAAGAATATTGATATGAAAGAACATTTCTGTTTTATTATTCCATCTTTAACTTTTCAAGCTTTATGTTTCTGATCAACCTGATTTACTTCAGTGAGCTGCTGCAGTGTTTGGACATGTGTGAGAATGACCCCGTGGCTATTGCTCATTGCTTTGTTGACAAGGTGAGGAAAAGCATTTTTGCAAATCAAAGAAACTGGATCTTTATCAAACAAAGAGCGCAATTGTCTGATTTGTGTTTCCCCCAGAGTGAATATTTTGAAATCTACACCAAATACTGCAACAATTATCCTAAGTAGGTATCTTACATTTTTGAAAAGGTTTATTATGTTTTTACTTGCAGCATTTTTCACTCAGATTACAAAATGCCATTCTTTGCTGCTTGCAGCTCAGTAGCAACACTGACTGACTGCATGAGGAATAAAACATTGGCAAAGTTCTTCAGGGATCGGCAGGCTGCTCTGAAACGCTCTCTCCCTTTGGGTTCTTATCTTCTGAAGCCAGTGCAGAGAATCCTGAAGTATCACCTACTGCTGCAGGTAAAGACCAGCCTCTCTAATGATCAGTGATGCTTTTGTTGTTAGAATTGAGGCAAGGGAAATTTTTATTTGAACCCCTTTAATGCACGCTGTCCTTAAAGGAAATTGCCAAACACTACGACTCAGATGAAGAAGGCTATGAGGTTATTCAGGAAGCGATAGAAACCATGACAGGAGTGGCCTGGTACATCAACGACATGAAGAGGAAACATGAGCATGCTGTCAGAGTGCAGGTTAGATAACACAGCAAAGCTTGCATGCAAAACATGTGAGCATTGCTTTTTGTTTTTTACTACTTTAAAAGGGGTGCATCGGTGTTACTTGTGGTAAAATCTTAATTCAAACCTGTTTTTTTAAGCATGGCTGAAAGTTTCTATATTTTTTTTTTTTCTTCTTTACATAAGGAGATACAATCTCTGCTGATCAATTGGAAGGGTGCGGACCTGACTACCTGTGGGGAGCTGGTGCTAGAGGGAACATTTCCTATGCTGAGAGCTAAGAACACCCGGACGCTGTTCCTGTTCGAAAAGATGCTCCTCATCACCAAGAAAAGAGGGGAACACTACGTCTACAAGATCCACATATTGGTATGATGTTGATCAGTAATAATCTGATGAACTGATATTAAAATATGAAGAGAAATTTAGAAAAATAAGACAACCATTACATATCATTTGCTGTTACAGTGTTCCACCCTGATGCTGCTCGACAACGCCAAGGATCCTCTCCTCTTCAGTGTTATCCATTTCAAACGTCCCAAGCAACCCCATACTGTACAGGTAAGTGCAACAAAGCCTAATAAACAGTAAAATATAAAAGATTATTTTAATGACACTGTGCTCGATAAATAATTTAATGATCCATTTCATTTCAGCCTTGTAAAAATAGGCATTCCTCTAAAACCTTTCACCTTAAGTCGGGATAAAATCACAAACTTCAGTGTTTTTATTGACATTATTTTATGATAGAAAATAAAAAAGTAGTACATAATTATGAAAAGGATATAAAGTATCTAGTAACTTTATCAGAGTGAATTAAACATACTGAAAGATTAATTTTCTATTACAGAGTAATATTTTTTATAGCTTTATCTTTTGCATTTGCAAGGCAATAAATTCCCTTTGCAACAGAATAATGAAGCGTAATATACAGTTTAAAAACCAGAGCTTCTTTCGGACATTTTAGGGACACTTGCAGCCTTTAATGTCCTTGGGTTAGAAAGGACTGCCAGCTGCACAGAAGTGTGAAGGCAGGCGATGTGCTGCATTCATTAAAGCAACCATTTAACTCGCTTTTTATGATTACTGTTTGTAATTAGGTAAAATGTCTATTGACTTTAATGCTTCATGTATGCACCAAAGAGAATAGGGTTACATAGTAATAGTAAACCTGCTATAACTCAGGTTCTTCTTTAACGACTGTAGAGAGCCCTCTGGAATAAGCTATTTTTATTTATTCTTTATTTTGAATAGTCTTGAGAGGTATGGGAAAGGTATGGGAAAAAAAGAAACATTTTAAGTATTTTTTTAGACTAAATGAAAATGGAAATTAGAAAAACATATACCTGTATATAGTTCTAGATTTTACCTCATGTCATTGCTTAATTTTTACATAGATGACATTTGCTTTTAGAAAATACAGGCTCATTTAGATTTTTTTTTTTTTATCATTTTATTTCTACTGGAGGCTTTAAGCTGTTTTTGAACAGAGTTTGGCTGAACAAATTATTCAAAACGTTTTGTTTCTTGGGGGAATTTTGTAAATTAAGGGCTCAACTGATCCCAATCTCTGATCAAGTATCAGTGTTTAATCTAGAATGATCCTGTCCAGGATTTAGCTAAGCTATAAAGATTTTAATCCAAGTTTGTCCTGATGCCAGAACATGTGAAATAGCTGCTAAGCTCAGAAGCCAGCTTTTGATTCCGTTTGTTTTAATATCTTCTGTTATCAAATATATACTATTTTAGAAATTAAGTCTGAAAACTGGAATTTTTTAAATTCTAAATGTTTAGAAACCGCCCAAAAATTTTCTGTAGAGGTTTTAATAACTCTAGCATCTCTCTACTGCAAAGTAATAAAGACCTCAGGTGGTTCTGCAAACTGGGAAATATTTTTGAAAAGCTTTTAATTCCCACAGACAATGATTATTTCCAAAGAGAAATAAATGGATTAAAAGATATAGAAGATGTTCCTTTCTTCTTCATGTTGATCGGTGATGGCAGAAAGATCACCTACACTCACCGGCTACTTTATTAGGTACACCTTTCCAACTGCTCGTTAACACTTAATTTCTAGGCAGC